ATGTGGGACTTGAAGTTTGTTTAAAATATTAATTAGATCATGTCTTTAGAAAAATGATTAATTCATTAAATTGAACAACAAAATTATATTATTATAAATTATTTTAACTCTTAAAATATTCAATATTCTAAAAAAATTAGTTTTTTATTAAATAATTTTATTTTTAAAACTATCATTAAATTAAAATTAACTCATCATCATTAATTTATACATTTAATTAAAATAAATAATTAATTATGAATATTTAAATTAAAACTAATTTTTATGAAATATTTAAAAATAATTTAGTAATATATTTTATGAATTAAATACTTTTAATTATTTTATTAAGTAAATACTTTTAATTTTAAAATTTTATAAATTATCATTAAATTAAAACACATTATCACTAATTTATCATATTTATAAAATTTTATATAATTAATTCAATTTATATAAAATTAAAATTAATTATAAATACATATTTATAAATAATTTAGTAAATTAATATTTTTAATTAAAAATCGTATAATTATTAAAGTTATAAATTTAAATATTTTTATTTTAAATTTTTCTGCGAATTAAAATTGGGAGGAAAATCCACAGGAAAAGTTACTTGCAAAAATTTTCTACAATTTAGTAAACAATACTTGGGAATTTATTTTTACAAGAAAATCTGCAAGAAACAAAATAAAATTCTTACAACATTTTCTACGAATTTTTATCATGGAAGAAAATTTCTATGATCAACAAAATTGTAGCAAAATTTGAAAAAATTTCTTGTAGTGGACCCGCTCACTTAATTGCAATAAATTTTTTAATATTTTCTTGCACTATATATATATGGGTTTTGTTGAGCCTTACTTTCCATTATTCTCGAGCATTGTAATGTTCTCTAATAAAATGAATTTGAAGTCCTTTTTGTTGCTATGTTTTCTTTCTGGGGTAGTTCTTATCACTGCGGTGATGGGTGATGAGCCTTCTAAAAAAGGTATTGAGCACAAAGCTAATATTTGTGAATGACATGTAATTGATAAAAAGTATATTCAAAATATTAATTACATGCAAAAATGACATTTGGTTGAAAATGTAGGAGGATCAAATGAAAGTCAAGAAAACTCTAGTGTATGCGATGATGAGAATTACTGTAAGTATTTTCTTTCCTCTTCTCATGCTTTCTTTAATTTAATGCAACTATTTGCAAATCATACATGAATCTTGTTTATGCAGTTTTGAGCGGTAGGAAATTCCAGTTGAATCATGGTAGTGTTAACTGTAAAGGAAAGGGAAAAAGAGGTGTCAAATATGGTGGTAGTAGATCTGAGAATGGGGGAGGCAATGAAGTTGGATCAAAAGCTCGTGGAAGTGTAAAAGGTGATAGTGAAGGAGGCCCCTCAAGTTTTGGTGGTGGTGATGGTGGTACGAAAGGAGGGGGTAGTGTCAGCGGTGCCGATAGCCCAGGTAGAGGAGGAAGTGTTGGAGGACTCACAAGTTACGGTGGTAGTGGAAGTGTAGAAGTCGATAGTGAAGGAGGTCCCCCAGGTTTTGGTGGTGGTGATACCAAAGGAGTACGTAGCGAAAGTGTTGGTAGTCTAGCAGGAAAAGGAAGTGTTGCAAGGTTCCAAAGTTATGGTAATGGTGGAAATGCAGTAGTTGATAGTGAAGAACTACCCCCAGGTTTTGGTGGTGGTGGTCGTACGAATGGAGGAGGCAGTGTCAATAGTGCTGGTAGCCCAGGTAGAGGAGGAAGTGTAGGAATGGATAGTGAAGGAGGTCCCCCAGGTTTTGGTGGTGGTGGTACCAAAGGTGTAGCTAGTACCGAAAGTGTTGGTAGTCTAGCAGGAAAAGGAAGTGTTGCAAGGTTCCAAAGTTATGGAAATGGTGGATATGCAATAGTTGATAGTGGAGAACTCCCCCCAGGTTTTGGTGGTGGTGGTAGTGGTACGAATGGAGGAGGTAGTGTCAACAGTGCTGGTAGCCCAAGTGAAGGAGAAAGTGTAGGAATGGATAGTGAAGGAGGTCCCCCAGGTTTTGGTGGTGGTGGTACCAAAGGTGTAGGTAGTACCAAAAGTGTTGGTAGTCTAGCAGGAAAAAGAAGTGTTGCAAGGTTCCAAAGTTATGGCAATGGTGGAAATGTAGTAGTTGATAGTGAAGAACTCCCCCCAGGTTTTGGTGGTGGTGGTCGTACGAATGGAGGAGGCAGTGTCAACAATGCTAGTAGCCCAGGTGGAGGAGGAAGTGTAGGAATGGATAGTGAAGGAGGTCCCCCAGGTTTTGGTGGTGGTGGTGGTGGTACCAAAGGTGTAGCTAGTACCGAAAGTGTTGGTAGTCTAGTAGGAAAAGGAAGTGTTGCAAGGTTCCAAAGTTGTGGAAATGGTAGAAATGCAGTAGTTGATAGTGAAGAACTCCCCCCAGGTTTTGGTGGTGGTGGTGGTGGTACGAATGGAAGAGGTAGTGTCGACAGTGCTGGTAGCCAAGGTGGAGGAGGAATTGTAGAAATGGATAGTGAAGGAGGTCCCCCAGGTTTTGGTGGTGGTGGTACCAAAGGAGGTGGTAGCATTGGAGAAGAAGTTGGTGATGGAGAAAATTGATATAGTATTAATGAAGCTTTTAACATTAGGAATAAATAAAATTATGTGTTGGTGGATATGAAGCCAACATCTAGAGTTAAACAGTTAATACTTAGTTCTTTGTTGAACTTGAACGTAGCTATGAGAATAATAGTTGATTTCATTGTGCAAATGTCATGTAATGTTTTACCTTCATTTGTGAATGGTATATAATCTGGTATTAATTTGCAAGGAAGTTATATCCATAAACAATAGTTTCTTAAAATATTCAATAATCATATCTAATTCTTTTAATAATTATTCATTTTAAACTATTGATTATAAATATATGTAAAAAACTAATTATTACTTAAGTTTATAATTTTTGAATTCTTAATATTTAGACAGAAATTGAAATAGAAGGAAAATTGTAGTTTTACTTCAAAATTAGATTATTTTTACTTCATAAATCATATTATGTCCTCAACTTGTCTTTGTTTCATTCACCATCAATCGAAAATCAGTTACATTGAATTCGTGAAAGCGTGAAACCAAAGTGGTTCCTCCTCTCTTCAATCCCTTTTTAGTTCTTGCGTGCTTTTCGGCTTTCAGTCTATCTTTTTCAATGTGATTGAATGAAAGAAACGCTTATGTCGATGATATGCCGAGGTTGTGGATGATGTTTCTTTTTTACTTTCTTCCATTAATCAACACACGTATTCAAGGTGTCACAAAAATATGAAATCAGGGATTAAAAGCCTGATCATCACCAATTATCTTCATAAATGCTAGAGGAAATTTTCCATCTTAAAGTAGTAGATAATCAAAACTGGACTTAATAGTCAACACCACAATTAATATCTTCAATTTTAGATCCATTTGACATTACTAAAATTTCTCTTATTACATGCGACTTTTCATGAGAATTTTGTATTAAAATTCGCATCAAACATTATTCCTACGAATTTTTTTGCAAAATTTTAACTTTAGGTAATATCTTCGTGGATAATATGTTTTTGAAAATTTTAAAATTCGTAAGAAATTTTCCTATTCGCAAGAAAGTTTCTTGCAAATTTTTTCGCAAGAAATTCTGCAGGAAAATTTCTTACAAAATAAATCAAAGAAATTACTACAAATTATATCAATAATTCTTCAACTTTCAAATACTCACAATGAATTCATTCGAAGCATTTGCTACCACACCTCCAACATGTGATACATAACCTTTTAAATTCTAAGATTGTAGATTCTAATCCTAGCACTTAACCATACACATTAACTTACAAGGTAAGTGTTGCTCTAACTTATATACTCTTTATTGTTTTATTTTCAATCTATGTGGGACTTTAAGTTTTTTTAAAATATTAATTAGATTATGTCTTTAGAAAAATGATTAATTCATTATATTCAACAACAAAATTATATTATTATAAATTATTTTAACTCTTAAATATTCAATATTCTAAAAAAAATAGTTTTTTATTAAATAATTTTATTTTTAAAACTATCATTGAATTAAAATTAACTCATCAGAATTAATTTATACATTTAATTAAAATAAATAAATAATTATTAATATTTAAAATTAAAATTAATTTTTATGAAATATTTATAAATAATTTAGTAATATAATTCTTTATTAAGTAAATATTTTTAATTTTAAATTTTTATAAATTATCATTAAATTAAAACACATTATCATTAATTTATCATATTTATAAAATTTTATATATTAAATTAAAATGAAAATTAATTATAATGATATATTTATATATAATTTAGTAAAATAATATATCTTAATTAAAAATATTTTAATTATTAAACTTATAAATTTAAATATATTTATTTTTACAAGAAAATCTGCAAGAGACAAAATAAAATTCTTATAACATTTTCTGCAAATTTTTACCATTGAAAAAAATTTCTATGATCATTAAAATTGTAGTGAAATTTGAAAAAGTTTCTTGTAGATTTTTTTTCATAAAAAAATTTGTAAGAAATATTTGTAAATTATTTTTCCTAAATAAATTCGTAAAAAATTTTTGCAAAATTATAATTGCAAGAAAGTTTGCAAAAAATTTCTGCGAATATTTTTTTTGTGGGAAAATTTGCAGAAAAATGACACTTTTCTAGTAGTGTGAATTTCAATGAACCTTGTTATTTTCATTAGTATTGACTATTGAGAGGTGCAATATAGCACATTGATTGTCATATTTTAAGGCAAAGACAAACAAAGGCATGCAAATATGAATAAAAAAAAGACCAAATTGTCTTACGAAAACAATTTAGAAGTGGACCCACTCACTTAATTACAATCAATTTTTTAATATTTTCTTGCACTATGTAAATATGGGTTTTGTAGAGCCTTACTTTTCATTATTCTCGAGCATTCTTATGTTCACTAACAAAATGAATCTGAAGTCCTTTTTCTTGCTATGTTTTCTTTCTGGGGTGGTTCTCATCACTACGGTGATGGGTGATGAGCCTTCTAAAAATGGTATTGAGCACAAAGCTAATATATGCCAATGACATGTAATTGATTAAGAGTACATTCTAAATATTAAGTACATGAAAAAATGACATTTTGTTGACAATGCAGGAGGATCAAATGAAAGTTAATAAAACTCTAGTGTATGCGATGACGAGAATTACTGTAAGTATTTTTTTCATCTTCTCATGCTTTCTTTATTTTAATGCAACTATTTGCAAATCATACATGAATCTTGTTTGTGCAGTTTTGAGTAGTAGCAAATTCCAGTTGAATCATGGTAGTGTTAACTGTAAAGGAAAGGGAAAAAAGGTCACAAATATGGTGGTAGAGGATCTGTGAATGAGAAAGGCAATGAAGTTGGATCAAAAGCTAATGGAAATCTAAAAGGTGATAGTAAAGGAGGCTCCCCAAGTATTGGTGGTGGTGGTGGTATGAAAGGAGGAGGTAGTGTCAATGGTGCTAGTAGCCCAAGTGAAAAGGAAGTGTTAGAGGACTCAAAAGTTACGGTGGTGGTGGAAGTGTAGGAGTCGATAGTGAAGAAGGTCCCCCAGGTTTTGGTGGTGGTGGTGGTGGTGGTGGTGGTGGTACCAAAGGAGTAGGTATTACCAAAAGTTTTGGTAGTCTAGGAGGAAAAGGAAGTGTTGCATGGTTCCAAGGTTATGGCAACGATGGAAATACAATAACTGATAGTGAAGAAGCCCCCCCAAGTTTTGGTGGTGGTGGTGGTGGTACGAAAGGAGGAGGTAGTGTCAACGGTGCTAGTAGCCCAAGTGGAGGAGGAAGTGGAGGAATGGATAGTGAAGAAGGTCCCCTAGGTTTTGGTGGTGTTGGTACCAATGGAGTACGTAGTACCGAAAATGTTGGTAGTCTAAGAGAGGAAGTGTTGCAAAGTTCTATAGTTATGGCAATGGTGGAAATGTAGTAGTTGATAGTGTAGGAAGCCCCCAGGTTTTGGTGGTGGTGGTGGTGGTGGTACGAA